AAAACACTCTCTTTAGTCATAAAATTTGTGACATCGATTCTAGTGATGAAAAATAACGAATAACTCATGGAGGAATACAGTTAGATTCACAGAATATGTGAGCGAATCATAACATCCCTAATGTTTAGTTTCTAACTGAGTACTTATCAACATTAAATGTACTGTGCTTAAATGATTTTAAGTATTGCAGAATTATTCTATAGGGAACAAACTTCATATTGCTTTTAGCCCTTGAGGATGAGATATCTAACAATTTAAGAAATGTTCTCTTGGCCTTTTAGCTGCATGTTTAATCCTAAGTTAGTTATATAATTAGTGAATGGCACGAATTCAGTATTATACAGTATTGCATCAAATCTTTTGCTTTTCACAATGAAATTGCAAATTGTCTAAAGGATGTCCATGTTTGTAGAGCTACTGATGAACTATCACCATGTAATATTGTTTTAAGTCTTAGCCTTTCTGACAGTTGCATTTTTGACAGATTAATAAAAAATAATTGCATCCTCAAAGTGATACCCAAATAAACCGTATCTTCTTGTATACAATGATTGAATGTAATTTCATGCCACTGTCAGTTATATCCCATCAGGATCCCAGCTGTTTAGTGGAAGGCAGTAGCCCATGCAGGTGGAACACATGGAATACAATACGACATAACACACCATAACAAACATGGTCATTACATTCTCATAAAAGTCCTCTCTTACAACAATATTAGGCTCAAGGGACCTAATCTGTCAAATAACTCCCAAGGGGAATATTAACGTCCATGCTGGTAATTACTGTGGTCAGTTCACGGTCAGTTTGTGGTCAGTTCATGTCAATACATTTCGTACTCTTTGACAAATCCTTAAAAAGCTGGACACAATAATATATCTACCATAGGTTCACCCAGAAACTTTAACACTCTCGTTCCAACAACAATGACATAATAACGTACCATAACATTTGATAATCAATACAGTTCAACTGTTAAAGAGGATATTTCTAATGAAAAGCAAGGTTTTTCTACTAAGCGTCAATTTCTTCACTTTAACCCATAAAGAGGCTACAACTCCATCTTAGGATCAACAGCTACAAAAGCCTCATTTGACATGCCTGTGATGAAAAGAGTAATTTCAGGGCAAATGGACATGAAATTTGATTTCTTTCACTACAACCAAGCCTATTTCCATGACAAGACTAGGAAAATACTTTGAACTGAACCATTAAATCTTAATTCAAACTCAAGCATTAAGCAAATGCCATTTCCTACGCCATCGAATCTAAAAGTACCAAGATGTTTCATCCGTGGGACTCCATCAGGATGCGACTAGTCAGATAAAGGCGCTACGAGTCCACAACACAACAGATACGAATGCTGGTGTTAACGCAATGTAATTTTCTAAAAGGGTCAGATATCTGATATCATCTGAAATTCTGCTTCTTTAGATGTTCCGCCCATTAACACAGAAATTTGTATGGCACTATTTTAAACCATTAATGGTGAAGAAATCGTGTTCAAGCGTATGGGTTAAATGCTTGAATCTTTAAAGACATCTTTTGACACTCTTTTTGACCTTTTAAAACACAATTTTGCACTTTCTTCAGCAATTTAAGACACGATTACAGCTGTAGGATTGTTTACATCCAGTTACTAAGTATTTCTTGTATTTCAATATAGAACAGCAGTATTTTCAAATTGTATAATGTGTCTATCAAACTATCAGCATGGCTCCGCCTCCGTGGTGTAGTGGTTAGAGTGTCTGTCCGGAGAGCGGAAGGTCGCGGGTTCGATCCCCAACCGTGTCATACCAAAAGATGTTAAAATATGGTACTTGTTGGTCCCTGCCTGGCGCTTGGCATTAATGGGTACAAGGAGGACTGGTCGGCTCGGAGTCAGTATAATGTGTCTGAGTGGGGTATTCATGCTTCACTGCGGCATGGTATCTCAGTGAGCTAGCACTATAAAACCAGCTTCAGTCTGGGCTAGTACAAGCAGCTGCACATACACATTCACACGCATGCACATCATCATATGAGCGAAATAATCTTAAGTGCGACGTTAAACCCCATTTCACCTTACCTCATCAGCATGGTTATGAGCCTTACGTTTGATGTTTTACTGTTACACACTGCCATTGCCATTGTATTAACACAATTTAACCTGACCTATCCTTCTCTCAACAAAATGCAACTGAAATCCTTTCCATCCTAACAGTTAGATACAAAACATCAACAAAAACGACGTTGATCTTCATTCATTTATAACTGTCTTCAGTTTGTATTGCATTTTTGGCACAAGAAAAAGCTTTGACCAAAAACCCTTGTCTCTTGTTTAAACAGGCAGTGAGGTGGTCCTGAAGTATTTGTGCCAGCATTTAAGGCCAGACCAATTTTATTTCTTGTTTTATGGATCCTCCGGTCATATTATTTCAAGAATAAGAAAAAAAATAAAAATAATTTTTTCCCACTCAAAAAATAAAATCCTCATGTTTTTATTTGCCAAAAATGTAAACTTACTCCCAAATGTTTTTGATTGTTTTTTTGCCCCATATACACTTCATAAATTGCCCAAAATAAGATACTTTTGGTATTTAAAAGGAATAATACTTTGACTGGTGATTTTTATTTTTTATTTTTTTCCTTCCTTTCTGGGGACAAAAATCCATAAAACAAAAAATAAAATTGGTCTGGCCTAATGGAATATTTCATATAAAAACTGCCCTTTCCCTGTCTTAATTGGATGAATACTAACAGCATTGTACCTAATGGACACCTCCTAACTGAGACTAATGACTTTATGGGTACACTGGAACTGATTACAATGTGTGTATATATAGCTGCTGACACTAATGCTGTATATATGTGATTATGCTAGTGACAATAATAACTTTGTGTACATAACTGACACCTCGGACACTAATAACATTGTATACATAATAGAGAACACTACTGACACTAGCAATGTGTAATGGACACCTACACTGACACTAATAACAATGTATAAAAGACACCTCTGACACTAATAACCTTGTATAAATCGTAGACACTTATACTGACACAAATAACCTTGTATATATCACAGACACCTGACACTAATAACCTTGTATATATAAATAGACACTTATACTGACACAAATAACCTTGTTTAGATCATAGACACCTCTGACACTAATAACCTTGTATATATAATAGACACTTATACTGACAGTAATAACCTTGTATAGATCATAGACACCTCTGACACTAATAACCTGGTATATATAATAGATACTTATACTGACAGTAATAACCTTGTATAGATCATAGACACCTCTGACACTAATAACCTGGTATATATAATAGATACTTATACTGACAGTAATAACCTTGTATATATTTTAGACACCTCTTACACTAATAAACTTGTATATATTATAGACACTTATACTGACAGTAATAACCTTGTATATATTTTAGACACCTATACCAACACTAATAACCTTGTATGCAATAAAGACACCTCTACTGACACTAACAATGTATACATAATAGACACCTATACTGACACTAATAATATTATCGACATAATTGACACCTCGGACAACACTAACAATGTATATATTATAGACACCTATACTAATAACATCATATACATAATTGACACCTCTACTGACACAATGTATATGTAATTGATACCTCTACCGACACCAACAATGTATATACAATAAACATCTCCACAGGCACTAAAGACATTGTATTCATTCTGACAGATATTAACTCATGATTCCCATGCAGAACTTCTGCATTTATGCCGCTGTGTTGAACGTCATTCCAAAACTGCCCATATATACGTACTGAGATCATGAAATGATGCATTCAGGAGTCATGGAGAGCAATGAATGCTCTTAAAGACAGCTAATACTGGTATTCCAGCAGAATATGATCCCAATTTAACTACCTACATAGAGGTTGAACATTCAACCTCAATGAAAGTTTTAGTGATGCTGTACTACTTGTAACCACAATGTTTGAAGGTGCTATTTCAAATAGTATGAAAACAAGATGAATCACGCAACTAGAGAGAGTCTATAAGGTAACTGCTGCTTCAGGTGTTACAGAAACATGTCAGTTTCACTGAAATCCAACTTAACTGACAATGATAAATGACAGCGCAACACAGCTGATAGTGAAATGTACAGCACATGGGATTAACATGGGCTCTGTAATGGTCTGTCGGCTGTACACATCAAGACCTTTAACTGACTGCAAAAATATCTCTTCTTGTCATTGTATCTCTTCTTATTCCATTCAATTATTCTAATTTAATTATCAACATGTTCATTTCAATCCAAATTGCAATTGTTTCAATACGTTTTACAATCAACCATTGATTCTCGAAACTGGTGAAACTATTCATGACGATTTTACACAGTCACACAGGGTGTGATTGGAATAGAGAAGGTTAACGTTTTTCAGTTACCGTCGTAAGCTTCATTTGACTTCAGGAGTCACAACAGTAACAGATGAAAACATCACCAACAGACTATCACTTGATCTCAGTCATGCCATTGTCATTCCGACAGCATTCAAGCTACGCATACAAGACGTACATCTGTGGGTTTCAAATATAGAATACCCTACCGGTCTCAACTAGCTAAGGATCTAATGAGCAACACGTTATATGGGGGAAATCTGTTGAGACGTGGACTGATATTGGAAATTGTCAAAGCAACAGGAGGATATGTCTGTTCCCAACACGCTTGGAATTCTTACAACGGTTACTGGAACTGGCACTGTCGGAGAGTACCAAACTCACATCGACAATCCACCAAGTGAATAAATATTGATTTAAACATTGTCGCCTATTGATTCCATTGAGAGTTCTCTGACAGTAGAAAGTAAGAAAACGTTGCGATCAAGTTTCTCGCAAGTCAGTAGAATCCTGTTTCAGCATAGTGATGGAAATGTCAGGTGTATGTATCTGAAATGTTAAAACGGATTTTAAAAATGGTGACAGGTGAAAGCGTACTTACGTGTCGAGGTTGATGTTGAGTTCTCGCTGAACACTCTGGCCATGTATTTCCAAATTGAAAATTAATAAAAGAGGAAAACAATGTAGAAAGTGAAAGATCCAAAAAGCACTCATGATGAACAGGTCTTCTTGGCACTGCACACAAACTACATAGGATAAATGACACTGGTTCCAATGATAAACTACACTCTATACAAACAGCTACTAGTGTGCTGAGATGCATAGGACTCCACTTCTGTAGTCATATCATGTTTCTCATGCTGGTGGTGGAAACTCCCAATCTGAGGTGTATCATACTGGGTAAATGTGGCTATCAAGCATAATTGGAGGAGTTCATTCTCTGTTACAGGGTGGGCGGGTTCAGGGTGCATAATTGATTGGTATCTTCTGACAATTGCTCTTGTACGATAATGCCCCTACATAACGTATTGATCGCCAAGCTTCGTGGCTTAAGGCAGGGTTAATATCGCCGCTGTTCTCTTCCCCTCCCCTTGGGAGGTTCATCTCGTCGATGTTCCTGGATTCTGACGAATCCCTTTCACGCAAATGGACTCACTGTATATGGCTTGGAACAACTGACAGTCGTAACATATTGATCTATTTGATGCTGAGCAAAGATGATCGGGTCATGTGATGGCACTATGGTTAAATATTTAATCCAACAGTGCTCCATGTTTTACACACGTAAAACGAGTTAGAGAGAGTGAATGACAATCAATACAACAGTGGATATCGTAAAGTGATTTTTACTCAGCTGATATTAGCAAAGTGCCTTGTCACACCTGTAACGATAGACAGAAAAATCAATCTCAGCGCACTCACAGGTAAAAAGATCATTTCATGGTCCACATAAGCTGCAATAACACAATCAACGCATTTACTGTAATCAAAACTTCTCATAAACACACAAACAGAAGGTAACTGGACAAACACTAATCCATTTTATCGCTTATCAATTCAAATCTTATCGGTTTATTGAAATGAAAAAGCCAAATAAGCACGTTTCTCTACTATAAAGGGCTGGGTCTCTTTTGTAAACATCATATTAATTCTATACATGTTCAAGTCCTACGGTAAATTACTTCAGCGAAGCAAAAATGGATTCCAAATTACGCCAAATTGCAGGTAACCGAAGAAAGTGTGTTCATTATGGAGATAGTGTCAAGCAAATGTCAGAAATTATCATATAGATTACGTCAAGTTGAAGTTCCATTTCAATTATTTGCATTCTATTTATTCGAATAATAGAATGATTTGGTTTTTATTTATTTCCATGACAATTTATCTCATTTATTATAGATTTTTTCACCCATCAGCTGGGTATCTGCATAAATACTTGATTGCTGGAACGAGTTGGCTAGTTTTGAGGATGGGTTTCTTCTCATCATGTTCCTAAAAGCTTTGAAGAGACCATGACTTTGTAATAAAATTACAGAGCAGAGACAACAATATGAAGCATTATTTCAAGTTCTGAGAACGTTTTTAGTCCGGTTCAGTATTTAGATGGACACAAAGGAGTCTATGTGTCTCAAGCTTTATGATGATAGCTCAAAACATCAGCCTTCTTAGGATTCACTTTCCATTTGCGCTGGCATTCATAGCTTTCAATTTCAGCTGATTTCATATTGCTGAAAAACAGATTTGAAAAAGGGCAAATTGGTTTGCATTTTGACAGGATTTTATATTACATTTGTTACTTCAAAATTAATGTAGTTTTCATTTAACGTGATAAAGTATTTTTTGCATTTGTGAGATATACTCTAGCAATATTCCTGCAATATCACGACAACCATTGCATCCATGTGGGCTACCCCTCCACCCCTGTTTGCTTTTAGCAATATTATGGAAAATATAAGGTGTGGAACACAAGAAATGGATTCAAACCCACACCACCTGTGTGGTAAGCAAATGCTTCACCCACTGGCCCACTTGCTGTAAAAATATATCCTCCAAAGAACCAACAGGGTAGGCCATCTATACAAGTGTTTACAAACAAATGTCACATTTATGTAGACATTTAGTTTACCCTACAAAAACAAGAAGAATTCTGGTAGCAGAGAGGAAAATAATTTAAGTATCAACTAGTTCAGAACTTCTGAGGTAATATCAAACAGATTCCTGACAATAGCTGACCTCGTGTACTTGTGAGCTGTGGCAGCTGAATCACAAGCAATATTTTAAGAAATCAATCTCAGTTTCTAAGTTACATTTTCCTTCTGTGACTGGGAAGTAAGTACATGTCTTTATAGCTCACATGACAGAAAATTAGGCTTGCCTGTCAAGCTACCTACATTTTGTTTAAGGGGCGGTGGGGTATCTCAGTGGTTAAAGTGTTTGCTCGTCACATCAAAGACCTTGGGTCGATCCCCAACATGGGTACAATGGGTGATGCCAGTTTCTGGTGGTCCCGCCGTGATATTGCTTGAATATTGTTAAAAGCGGCGTAACATTAAACTCACTCACATTTTGTTTTCACTAGCTAGAAAGAAAAGAAGGCAGCCACAGGCTCCTTGCATGCCTGTGTTTTAAACACTGGGTCTATCAATCCTCTAGGCTACACATAGGTAGGTGAGTGGAAGGTGCAGATGAGTAAAGTTAGTTCTTGTCTGGACCAGACAAACCTGTGTTTTGACAAAAGCAGTTATACAGACCATCAGGAAACACACAGTAATAGTAACAGTCCACTTATATGGCACTCAGATCCAGGGCCTAGATTTTCGAAGCTCTCTTAGCGCTAAGACAGTCGTTAGTTAATGTTAATGTATGGCTCTTATAACTATCTTAGCGCTAAGAGACCTTCGAAAATCTAGGCCCAGGCACATTGCCTGCTCACGGCGCTACATACATTACTATCCCTGGTCCTACTACACTATCGTACTTTCCGATACTTGTTCAACTCCCTGGGGAGGATACAGCCATGCTGCCTGTTAGGCGCAATGAACTAAACACTCAGATTGCCAGCACATCACCCATTTTACAGCTGGGTGAACTGAGACAATGTGGATCTAAGTATCTTGTCCAAGGATATTACACAAATGTGCCCACCTCGGGCCCCGAATCTTGGTGCCTCCACCGGGGATCAAACCTGGGCCTTCACGTGATAGGCAGACGCCTTACCACTGCACTACTGTGCTCCACACATGACCAACACACAAGTCAAGTACTGTAAATATCCTTTTTAATTTTAGTCAAACACTGGGATCTTATGCACACTGGTATGTCAGTAGGGAGATTCATAACAGTGTTGCTAGGTAACAGGTTCCTGCAAACCAACAATGGTAACTCACTGAGCCAATAAGCTAAATTGATGGGGGATAATTTCTAATGCCCATGCCATGACATTGCTGGAATATTTTTCTTCAAAACTTAGTCACTTAAACTAAAATATTTCATGAATCCATCTTTGATCTTCTTAGATTGTAGAACACACATGGGATATTTTCCAAATCCCACAAGTTGAATATTTGACCATGGACATGTGTGAATTTTGTTCTTGTTGTAATTTAAATTTTATTTCTGAATCCTTGTTTCAGTCAAGACTCAGCAGCCAGGGAACCATTCAGTCAGAAGATATGAAGCAATCTAATGGAGACAGGTGTAGATGTTTTGCAAAACAAGACAAACCTTTCACATCCATCACACCAACACAAGATTATCTTTAATTATCAAACAAATTAATTAAGAATATAATTACTTCAGTCGTCTGAATAAACCATAATAATGAGCCATTTAGAATCAAATTCAGCATTACAGCTTTTGTTAAAGACTGACTGACTTGAGTTTGGTTTTACGCCGCTTTTAGCAATATTCCAGCAACATCACGGCGGGGGACACCAGAAATGGGCTTCACACATTGTACCCATGTGGGGATTCGAACCCGGGTCTTCGGAGTGACGAGCCAACGCTTTAACCACTAGGCTACCCCACCGCCCCCTTTTGTTAAAGAATATACATTTTTCAATGCTGTGTTAAAATTGCTACCATTAGTTGCAGAACATAAAAATATGGATGTTATGCAATGGAACTAATGAATGCTGACTTGCACTACAGTCAGTAATATCTCAGCTCTATCATGATGGTCTGTACATACTGAAGTCTGGTCTAAACTAGTGGTCAACAGCATGACCATCAATGTACTGAGTGTGTGAGTGAATACTGCTTTGTTTAAAACACATTTTATTCATGAGAAAAGGACTGGGTACAAGTTATACAATTTAGAACACCCTCTCCGTAGTATTTACATAGTATTATTTACATTCATTCTACAAGATGGAGAACAGAGGAGAACAGAAAGGTGGGAAAGAGAGGAACACATGCAACAATTAAGAAAATCGTTTTGATTGACAAATATATGTTAAATATGTTTTGATTTATGTGAACAGTCAGATCTGCATTGCCATGTAATAGTAACTCACAGGTTATATTCACATTGGTAACACTGCGTAAATGAGTCATCATGGTAGTTCTCTGTACCGTATATAATTGACAGTCAAATAGGTACTGATAAGAATTTTCACAAACATTTCCACAAGAACAACTTGGGTTATCTCTTATACCAGCATGGAATAGATCATAATTCAATTGACTACACATGTAACGTAGAATACTGCTTAATGTCATATCATCAATTTTACAGTTAATTGCGGCATCAGTACACGGAAACAGAATACAAAGACAAACTCGTAGCAAGTCACACATTGTGAACACTGAATCTTTATTCAGTTGAATATTATGAATTTGTTCCAACTTGGAATTTCCTTGAGTGTTGCTCTTACAACAATCATGAGGTACTATCGACCTAATCTGACACTCACTGATGGAAAACCATGAGAATCAAATTCTTGCTCTGGAAGAACACAATAATATTTCTTGTGTTTGCATAATTCATGAAAATAGATGAAATATGAAAAATCAATAACTGTGCATTGAAAACAAGATTAGAACAGGGATTATTTTTGAAATATCAAAACATTAGTACAAACATATCATAAAAGGTAATACTCACTATTTGGAGCGGCATGGGCTAAAAGGTGATGACAAAACTAAGCAAGGAGATATATTTACTCTTTGAGCTATTTGTCCACCCCAGCAAGAGTGAGTGAGTGAGTTTAGTTATTCGCCGCACTCAGCAATATTCCAACTATATGGTGGCGGTCTGTAAATAATCGAGTCTGGACCAGACAATCCAGTGATCAACAGCATGATCATCGATCTGCACAATTGGGAACCAATGACATGTGTCAACCAAGCCAGCGAACCTGACTACCCGATCCCGTTAGTCGCCTCTTACGACAAGCATGGGTTACTGAAGGTTCATTCTAACCCGGACCTTCACGGGTCCCCCAGGTAGAAGATACAATGACCTGTATTCACAAAGTAAGTCTACGTCTTAACATGACTCATGACAGTCAATGCACTTAACCAAAGGTGTGTCAGTAATCTCAATGTCTGGAAGGCTTTCTGTTTTTCAGAGTTTGTTCTAGTAATGCACAGAAAATGATTAAGGTATACA